CATTACCTAGGCAACTGGTACACCTGGAAGAGGTCACATCTGCAGCCGCTGAGGTCACATCTGAATTGATGTGGCCACACCTTTCTCCGCCCATACCCTAGATAAGACCTAGCCCAGGCCCAGATGCTCTCTTTTCTAGCTCTTTTCTCAGCTCTTTCCTTCTCTTCTCTTTCCCAGCTCTCTTTCCCAGCTCTCATTTCCAGGCCTTTCCTAGGCACGTGGAGGGCCAACATGGCCTGGTGCCAGCCAGAATGATGAATAAACCTACCCCTTACCTGAATACTACCTGTGTGGTGCTGTTCTTACTTGGCTACTTCTTTTTAAAAACCTAACACTAATTAACCACAAAAACAGCTAGAAGTAGAGATGTGGCTCAAGTGGTAGAGAGCTAGTTGATGGTAGGCAAAATGAATCACAAGATAAGGACTCAACTGATTTTTCTTTCTTGCAATTGTGTCTAACATATTTATAAGATTTTTTTTTGTTGCTATGTATGTCCCTCCCTCACAGTATAACCCCTGTTTTCACTGTATTTGGTGTTGGTATAATTTGGGAGGGGACGGGAAAAAACAAATTGTTTAAATAGGAATACAGGTGGACCCATTGCAACAATGAGATGTACAAGATGTTATATCAAAAAATGAACTTTACAAGTTTGGTGCAGGGGGGAGAGATAGGGTGGGGGCGGGGAGATGGGAAGGGATGGGAAGGGGAAACAAAGGAGGAATCAACAATGTGTGATAAGAAATGTACCTTGCTCATGTAATTATAACCCCTCTGTATGGTATTTTCACAATAAAAAAAAGAAAAGAGAAAAAGAAAAAAAAAAGCTCAGGGACAGTGGTCTGACCCTGAGTTTAAGCCCCAGGATGGGTACAAATAAAGGAAAAAACAAAAAGAAAAATTGAATGCTCATTGGCACTTAAATTATAATTTCTGGTATATTTTTTCCGGATATTTTCCCTAGAATGAATCATTCTCTTCCAGGTCTCAGGCATTCTTAAATAATGATGATTGTATCATTATTTGTTATTTTGGATGCTATTGGACTATTTATATTTTCTTGATAAGGGATGGAAATTTTATTTTACTACATTGATTTTGCAAGTGAATGGGATCTTGATTAAACTAGCATTTTACGTTTGCCCACTACTGTATTTATCTGGGATGAAAATAATTCTCTATACATTCACTTCTGCTTTCCTTCTGTAGTCAACAAAGTGCTGTGTAATAAATTTTGCTTTCCCACCATATTCTCTAATCAAAGAAGCATTTTGATAAAAACAATTTTAAAAAATCACACACAAAACCTAAAACATACTTATTTGTATCAGAACTGAAAACTTTGTGAAAGTGTTGAAAAACTGTTTTTGCTATGTAGCTGCTTGAAACTGTTTTCAGAGATATGTTTTATAGTCTACTTAAGACTATGTGGGAATTCCACAAATATGGAACCTCCTGAATGCCACCACAATTTCATCATTTCAAGTCCCTTGGGATTTCTCTGACATCCCCATGAACTTCCTGAACCTCTTATTATAGGTTCTTTTCTATTTCTCTTTCATTTGTAACAATTAATAGAATTCAACTGTAATATTACAGTTCACTACTAAGAATCAGGAATGATCATCTCTGGCCTGAAATCTCCTTAATTTCAAAACTTCAAGTCAATACTCAGTATTTCTTGAGTGTGAAAGACGTGTAATTTGGGAGAAGTTAACATTTCTGAGCTTTTTGTCAAACTAAAAAAGGGAGTAAAATATTACCAAAACATGAATTTGTTAAAGAATATATAAGATATTGAGTACAAAATGGCACTGAGAGCATAAAATACTTTCCCAACCATGTCTCCAAAATATTTTACTTAAACAGTGATGAATATAATTTGTTAACAGTTAGCTCCCCTTAAGATAATTAGGATAACTAATGTTCAAAATATATTTTAATCAGCTAATTATAGTGCTTTGACGTTTAACTGATAATGATGTACTGATTTTGTACACTTGCATAGCAAGTCATAAAACACTTTGCTGATTACAAAATGTTAAACAAATGCTAGTCATGATGAAATCACAACCAAAAAAGTTTAAAGTATTGAAAATTCTTTAATGGGAAAATTCCTGGTATTTAAAATAATAGATCATATGGTATGAATATTTTATACAACCAATAATCAATTGTGCATTAGGTACTATTTTATATGGAACTTGATAATGGAGCTAAATAGAAACATTAATCTTAAAATTATGATATAAATATTAGGTGATAATGAAACATTTATTATAAAGTGCATTCTCTCAGCAAACCAATAATTAAAGTTGGAATATTTGTTTCTATTTTAGTACAATTTATCATTCAGAATTACACTATAGATAAAGGATAAAAGAATGATTTTTTTGTAGTTAATTTGAGTGGGTTTAAGCTTATTGGTAAGTAGGTCTACGTGAGTCAAAATGTATTCCTCTGCTGTTATATTTAAGGGAAGAGCCATAGAGCTCTACCATTTTTGCATTTGACTAAACAAAATCTAAGGCTTGCATAGGTGACATAACTATAATTAAATCACCCATTTCATAGATGCTGTGAGGTATTGACCAGAGCCAATGGACTTTGGTGAGGATATTGCCATGAGTCAAGAACCTGGAGTTCAGGTCTAAAGTATATTCCTTTTGAAACACTGTATTCTTTCTTTCATACTTTATTCATCTATAAAATGAAAACCTAAACTAAATCCTTACTCTGCTCTTATACATGACTATTTCCTCAATTTGAAATGAAATATAAGAGGTTTCCAGAGGGACACTCCTTGGTTGTATTTTGGCCGAAGTCCGTTCACCTAAATAGGAAAAAAAGTAAGTGTAATGTCATTCAGGAAATCTCACCACTGAGTAGTTTGTTTAAAAAGACATGAAGATTGGTTTCTTAGTTCTATCTGTGGCAGCAGATTGAAAATTCACAACATGTATTTTGCCTAAGGAGAGCAATATGCCTGCATTCAAAGCTATTTTTGTTTTTGTTAAAGCAGGTAAGTGGAATAGTAAGAGGCAACCCATTGAAAAGTAGCAAGACTGATGAAGTTTAAGAAATCCAAATAAAAGTTATATATATGTATATATATATATGAATATATATATGAATATATATATATATATGTATATATTGCTGGTCCTGGGGCTTGAACTCTAGGCCTGGGAGCTTCTTTGGCTCAAGGCTAGCACTCTACCCCTTGAGCCACAGCACCACTTTGAGCTTTCTCTGAGTTGTTTGTTGAAGATGAGTCACTCCTACCCAGGCTGGCTTCAAACCATGATCCTCAGATCACAGACTCTTGTGAAAGTTTTTTTTATTTTTAAAATTAAAATAATATCCTCTTCCTACTGGAAGTCTTGCCTGACTTTCACAATGAAATTCCACCTCTAATTCTATCCAGTGAGGATCCCTCACTTCCTTCTAGAAACCATAGAGCAGTAAATATGGCATTCTTAGACAGTTATAAATAGTGGTTTCTTACTTTGAGAAAATTACCTCATATCTTCTTAACTGGATTCAAAAAAGCTGCTTCTTTTTCTTTTTTAATTATCCTTAAGTAATTGTACAAAGAAGTTTCAATTCAACCTGCCTGAAGATGATAAAAATCAAGATGGCAGAAATGCTTAATTCCAGAAGAATGGTCTCTCCGGCATAGTGGAGAAAGTATTTTGAGGCAAAAAACCCTCTGAGTGACATACAAAGCAACAAAGAAAGCATCTTAAAAATATGCTAGAAACAATAGCAAGAAAGAAAAACCATTTGAGTCCTTATCTTGGGGTTCTTTTTGCCTAACACCACGGTTTAACCCTTGTTTTCACTGTATTTGATGTTGGTATAATTTGGGGAGGGGAAGGGAAAAAACAAATTGTTTAAATAAGGATACATGGGGACCCATCCCAACAATGAGATATATAAGAAAATGTATAAGATGTATGTCGAAAAACGAACTTTACAACTTTACGGAGTGGGGGGGGGGGAGATGGGAGGGAAGGGATGGTAATGGAAACAAAGGAGGAGGCAACAATGCCTGATAAGAAATATACTCATTACCTTGCTCATGTAATTGTAACCCCTTTGTACGGTATTTTCACAAATAAAAAAACTTATTAGTTAAAAAATCAGAACCCTCTGAGTAGTGCTTATAATGTACCATGTGCATACATCCTAATATTCAGCTGAACCTGCATTAATGTATTTCTTTTTTCCATAGCCTATGTGAAGAATTCCCTTCTGCCTTGGAGGTACTAAGTAGGTCATAAACATTGCCTTCTCCCCTCTGTGATGATGGTAGTGGTGGTGGTGGTAATGTGTTGGATGCCTCATGTAGTATAGCACTTGGTTCTGGGGCTCCTGGGCTCTGGGATTCCTTGGAACACCATCTTCAAAAGCCTAAGTACGGGCTACAGAAGACCAGCCTCTTTTTATTCAATGTTCCCTGACCACTGGAAGAAAATGAGGGCTTCTTCCCATTTCCTGATCAGAGGGGCTCTGAGAGTAACAGAGTAGCTGAACAGGAAGTCGAAGATGGATTATAGTTCCAAATTCCTCTTATGAAGAGAGATATGCATTTCAACACTGGAATATTAGAGGTTTGTGTATTCATGAAACCCAGCCTAACCTCTCTACTTAGAACTACTTATGGACCATCCTTAGAGAAATGTCCACTTTGATACTGGAACCCAAGTGAGGAGCTACGAGAAAGGATCCTATTGAAGATTACAGTGTTCTGCTATCTATGGAAATGGCCAGAAGGGCCTAGTTTCTGCAAAAGATTCCATAAACAGTCTCCGTGTTATCACAAACTCAAAACTGAGTGCAACCACAGAAGTGTAAGACAATGCACTATGCCACTATAAATGGAAAGGAAGGTTTCTTCTGCTAAGTGTGAAGCTTTGCAGGCTCTGTGTACAGCATGTCACATAGCTCTGCATCATTAATCAGAAAGAGGAGGGGGGAGAAAGAGAGAGAGAGAGAGAGAGAGAGAGAGAGAGAGAGAGAGAGCAAGCATGCTGCCCCCTGGAAAACGGAAATGTTCAGTGTGCACAGAGTAGCTTGCATATTTCACTGTGACATCTCACTACCATGTTTTCCAACATGGTAGTGGTTAGGTAATGCTGAAAATTTAATTTAATTTTTTTCATTATATTTTTGGCTTTTTGTTTTCTATTTACTCTTTTGTCTTTCCTCCCTTTATTTTTTCTGTCTTTCTTCTCTCTCCTCTTTCTGGTCTTCTTTCTTTTTTCTTTTTCTTGGTCATAGAGGAGGATTGGATTGGTTATTCTCAGAACAGGGAGTCAGAGCTGATGCACAGATCAGTAACATCCTGGTTGGAGTGGCTGTCGAATGAATTTTTTGAGACCTCTGAAGAAAACAGAAAGAAACTGAAACGGTAAGCTCCAATTTTTAATGCACAATTAGCTTTCATCTCTATCTTTCACCTTTGATATCTAGAATTATAGTCTTTACACCAGATTTTGGATAATTTATAAGATGTAAGGGTACTTATGGACATAATGATTTTGGACAATCCTCAGATCACATTTATTTGGCATTTGCACAAACAAAAATATAATAATGTACATAACTCCATTGGTGTTGGAGAAAATAGCTCTGTGATCATTTGTAATTTAACCTGTTCCCTATTAAGTAATTTTATTTTCATGAATGTGCAAGGTTGTATCTACTCTTTGTCATAACACTTTATGAATGATATTTTCTTTTATCTGTGGAATGGTTAAAATGGTGAACTTTGTGTGCTTTTCAAAGAAAATGATGATTTTTTTAAATGAGAGCTGTAGTACCTCAGGACTTTTACCAACATAAAGGCAGTCTTTTATCAGCCTGTATAAGTTGCAGGTTTTCACTGTAAAAAATGATTTCTTTTAATTTATGGTAGCTGTAGAGATTCTGCTTTTAAAGAAAACATAATGTAAGAAAAACACGTTTATGGCATACAGGAAATAAGAAAGGCAACAGTCACAGTTCCTTTATTTTTCATAGATAAGCTGCCTTTATCAGAGTAAGGAATCAGCATATTTAAAAACCAACAATGGATAAAATGACCGGATTAAATTTACATTTTAGATACTCATAATTGATTTAGTTTGTTTTTGAAAAAAATGTAATTGAAATTGTTTTGTAGTTTATTTTGTTATTGCTTGTTTGCACTCAAAGAAGGAAATATTTTAAAAGCTTTCTTTTTAACTTCAAACCAAAGATGAGATCAGTGGTATGCAACTGACAGGAACCACACTTAGGGATTAAAAGAAAGGAAAAGATAGATTTCTACTTGAGATAAGGGTAAGATAAAGGAGGTGGCAATATTATCAAACTGAGGATTAAATCTCAAATAAGTTTTCTGTTCTTTTGCTATGAACAGTGATATTCATGGGTTTTATTTATATTGATTTAATCTTTCCAGATAAAAAGTTTCATAATTTTATTGAATAAGCAGGACTGTCTAAGAGAATTTGGATTATTCAACAAAGAAGTGTATCTTTCATCTAGTTTATCTCAGGCATAGAGGCAATGGTATCAGTCTCACAGGTGGGAGTCAAGTTCTTTAGCTCAGAGAAAGTTTCTACCAGCCACACTGGCAGGTATTTGAATCTCATAAAAACTATCCTCGATGAGAATTTGTTCAAGAGGAGGTATTAATTTCAGAAAATGTTCTCTGTACTTGCAAACCAATTGCACTGACCTGTCCTATGTTTATAGTAATATTTTTATGGAAAAATGCAGCAAGTGTCCCTATACTTCAAGGGGCTGTTATAATACCATATTGAATATTATAAAGGCAAATAAATACTGAGTTGGATATTGACCTCCAGATAACTCACTGAATTTCACCTGTATCCTTAGGAATGAATAAACTTATTATCTCCCTTTATAGTAGGAAACTAAAATGGAAGTAAGCCTCTGTCTTCATTTTACAGACACTTTTAGCACCAATCAAATAGAACTCTTTGGGAATTTAACTCCTTTTCCTAACCCTTACCCAGTCCTAGGAAGAGAAGCAAATGATGTTCCCATTTCTCTTGCCCACATCCCTAATAAAATGAATAATAATAAAAAAAAGAATCTATTTGTAACAGGCTATAGTCCTGTCATTCAAGGGTGCACAGACAATCAGCTGAGACTCTTTTCTGTTTGGGGAAGTAAAATAAATTGAAATTTTTCTTTTTATTTGCTTGTATCTAAACTACACATTTGTCCTAATCTCTGGCAGAGTCTTCTATAATTTGGGGCCCTTTGCTCTTTAAACCCCAGTGTGTCAAAGATTAAGTTATAAAAAAGTAAGCAAATATTTTTTGAAAAGCTTTAACATTATCTTTTTTATATAACATCAGGTTAATATAGGTGATATTTCTCTGATAAAAGAAAAATATCATGACTGTGCATATTATCTTCTAAATCCCATTTTTAATATATAACTATTCCTCCCCAAACATAATTGCAATGAAAACAAGGGCTATGTTGTATATGTCTCTTGTTGTTACCAATAATACAACAGAAAATGAAATAGCTGGGCACTGGTGGATCACCCCTATAATCCTAGCCATTCAGAAGGTTGATACTTATGGATCATGGTTTGAAATCAGACTGGGTAGGAAAGTCCATTGAAAATCCAATTAACCACCAAAAAGAGAGAAGTGGAGCTTTGGCTCGAGTGGTACAGTGCCAACCTTGAGCAAAAAAGTTAAGGGCAGAGTACAGGCCTTAAGTTCAGAAAGAGAAGAAAAAGGAAGGAAAGAGAGGGATGGAGAGAAGGAGGAAGGAAGGAAGGAAAGAAAGAAAAAAGAAAGAAGAAACAAAGGAAGGAAGGTTGATTGAATAGAAATAAAGTATTTCAGCTATGTTTTTATAGTCCTCATTTTATTCATTTTATTCTCTAGTTTAAATATTTTATCCACCCTCCTCTTAAGTTTACCAAGCCTAGATCTGATAAAAAGAAACACTGGTTTTGAAGTTAGTGCATTTTGACTACATCTATTACTAATTTTCTTGATTGTGAAGTAGAAAGGAATAAACATGACAGTAGGTTGTAGCTTTTTCATACTGAAACAACATACCGCAATAGAAAGAGCCTTAATAACCATGAAAACTTAGTTTTCAATAAAATGATTTTAAAGAAGAGCAATGAGAACCAAGGCAATAAGGAGCTATTGTCTTTAACATCAGTTTCCCATCTACAAACAGAGGAAAATAATCAAATTTCATAATGTAAGACATCTTTCCCACTGTTTTATACATCATAAATATACAATATATAAAAATAACTATTATCCTTGATGATTGAGCACCCCAAATCAAACTTAGGGCTAATTCTGGATAGTTTCAAAAACTCTACTAGCTCCTGGATTCCATTTGGGTGTTCAATCATCAAGGATAATAATTATTTTTTAATAAATTCAGCCAAAGTCATTGCTAGAAAGGTACTTGATTTAGCATAGGGCACAAATTCTATAGAGAGAAAATGAAGGAAAATCAGCTCAAGGATGGCCAGAATCTGATGTTGACCTGGAACTGACAGCAAGCTTTGGGAATGCTTTGAAGTCTACAATTAGAAATGTGTTGATTTCTAAAAATTCGTAAGTATACTTCCAAAAGCCTAAACCATCCTAGAAAACTGTGATTATTTTCCCTTGCTAAAGCTGGTAGACTGAACTCTTAGCTATGTGAGAAAACAAGTCAAAAGGCTTAGAATTCTCTTTAAAACAAAAGGAAGTCAGCATGCTTAGGAGGGAGATGAACAAATCCAATCTAATTTACACTCCAAAAATGTTAAAGCCTAAATATAATTTCACACCCACAAGAAAGGTATGTGAAATCACAACTTTCTTTTGCAAATGATTTTTAGATATGAAAATGTGTTAACTTTATTTTTAATTAATATGTTGAATTTTTCCAGGAAAAAAGATAATAAACTTATCACCACTTCTTTGAAGTGTTTCATATTCATCTGTTCAAAGTAACAATTGGGTTAATGCATGCAAATGTGACTAAATTAGACATAAATTTTCAAAGAAGCATTGTACAGTTTTTAGAGGAAACTGTATTAGAATGACTTACCATCAACTTTCATTTTTATGTGTTTAAAATATGCCCAAATCTTCAGACATGTATATCATTAAATAAAAAGGGTTGTAGACATCAACTGTATCTGAATTCAGCTCTAAACAATTTGCCTAAAGGAGGCATTACTGCATTGTGGAGGAACTAGCACAATTATTCCACATTTCCATATTATCCAGGTATTGGTTTAGCCTGGTATTTAACACTAGCCATAGATATTTGCCCCAAGGCCCAGAGATAGAGTAACTTATGTGGTAGGTAATCAACCTTAACATTTCTTCCCTTTTGGACAGAGATTTTCAAATACCCAGAGGTTAGCAATACCCAGAGGTTAATTTGAAATTTCCCAAGTGATTCTCCTCCTAGGAAAGTCGTAAACAGACACACGGATGGTATCTCTTACAACTGGAACTTAGGACCAAGGTGGTTATTACAAAGTAATTTTATATGTCTTCCTTCAGCACGTGAAAATATTATGCTTGTTCAAGTTTGCAGCTTAAAGAGCAAAATAGTTATAAATTATGTAGGTGAATAAATGAAAAAGAGAATGTTAGTTATATGGATCATTGAAATGACTGCTTTTGCAGATGCCTTATGAAAAATTCCAACTACTTTGAGGTCTAACATGCATTTGTATCCTAAATACAAATTTCTATAGAATTTAAAATCTGACCTACTCAGTGTAGAACTTGTTTTGTGTTTTATTATTTTATTTTTCTTAGTTTGATCTGTTAGCTCATTACTGCCAGTCTACAAGTTTCAGAGGGCTAAGGGCTCATATCTCCATAATTTTTAATCACCTGTGATATCCACCACGGTGATCTCATTTATAGAAAGACATTACTAATCTAAGTACACCATTCTTTCATTCTACCTTGTGAGTTTAGTAAACTGTATCAGCAGCAAAGGAGTCAAAGAGGACAAAGTATGTCTGCCCTGTTGTAGTTACCTTATTCCTTCCAGTCTTGAACACCACTGGAAATGGATGGACTCAATATAAAGAATGTACAATTTTTATGTTTGCATTTGGGAGAAGTGTGGTTAGGGAAAGATGGGAGAGAGGAATAAGTGGTGATTTCTTGGCCATGCAGTAAAGACTATTGTTTACTTACAGTGCCCAAAGAAAATAGGAAGGATAGCGTATTGTCTGATTTAGAAAACTGATAGCTCTTAGCAATGTAAAGGTCACATTCAAATGGTTTGGCTATGTGAAGGAAAGAGAAATACCCACAGACATCCTAGAAAATGTACAGTCAGATAAGGTGATGTGAATATGGGAACACAAGGGTTTGGCATCAAAACTGAGGTCCTAGACCTGGCTCAGCTGTTGATTTGTAATGTGATTTAGGATGAATCATTTACTTTCATTGTGCTTCAGTGGTCTTGTTTGTAAAAGCAAAAATATGATAAGGATTTATAGGATATCAAAAATCATTTGGAAAGTTTGTTTTATAAGCATACTTTAGCTGTAAATGGATTTCAGTGTGGCACTTCCACACAAGCATACAATGAGCTCTGATCTTTTTAACCTTTCCCCTCCACTCTTTCTCATCTCCCTTCCTCACTTCCCAGAATGATTTCAGGTGCTTTGTTATATTTTCACACATTCATTTGAAGTACATCAATCATTTAATAAGATTAATAAAGTTTAATTTCATTTGAAATGCGCAATCAGTTCTGTTAGCAAATGAGAAATTATTATAAGACTCATTGAATCATTACCCAAACACCATGAGGCTTATTAATAAAAACAGCCTGCTATCTCAAGTGTCACATACATAGAAGTTAACTGAACTTGTTGAATTAGTCCATGTATAGGTGGCTGAGCCGTCCTTAGTGGTTCAAATTTGAGGGGTTCGGGCTATATGTAACTTCTTCTCTACTCATCTCCCATGATTCTCTTTTTGTGTCCCATGATTCTTTTTGTGTCTGGATTTGAAATGGTCCTTATGAGTATTTAAAGAAGGCTGCTGGGAAAATGCCAGAATTATCCTTGTGAAGATTATAGATACGATCTTCTAATCCTATCATTAATGTATCACATTAAATCCACTGATCATATTTAAATAGTTTAGAAATTAAGAGTAGAGACACTAGTCCTAAGGTACATTTTGATGAGGAGCAGTCTATGATAGGAACAAGTCTGTGCCAACTAGGAAAGTCTGCTTAATAATGAGTTTTGGATTGGATCATGGGGATCCAGGCAGTGAGGGTTGTGGTAGGGGAATTATCAGGTTTCTAGTAGTGATGAACAGATGATATGCACACATATCCTTCCCTTTCCTTCATATCTTTATCTAAAATTGAGCCCATGAGTCAAATTAAACTTTCTACTAGGTTTAGACTATCAGAGTTCAATGTAACATGGATAATCTAGTGCAACTCCCTTATCTTGCACATAAGAGATTGAAGAGAAAGAATATTCCCAAGCTCACATCACTAACTGTTAAGACCAGGAATCGAAAACAGGTGTCCTATAACTCTGATCAGTGCTCTTTCTCTTTCACATTGTCTACTTTCAGGCTAACTTGTCTAGAGTTGGAAAGAACAAATAAAGCAGAAGAGTTTTAGAGTATATGGTTATTCTAGAGATACAATGGCAGTGAGCTACTAAGCTAGACTCATATTTTGATATTTGGCCTAATTCCTGTTTATAAAACATGAGAAATGAATTGAATAAAAATAAAAATTATCTATCAATATCCACTGTTTCAATAAAATGTGTTTTAATCACCCAGCTAAGTTTGTTTAGTATTTCTGATGAACTTGTGATAATACTCAGTCACTGAACTCTGTTCTTGTAGAGTATTATGCAAGTTTGTCTTCACATATCATCTGGACCATTCAGGTGATGCTTGAGCAGTTCTGGTTCTGCCTTCACACACAATTAGCGATCAGCAGGAATCAGAACTTTGGTCATTTCTAATTCCCTGCCTGAGTTTCCTCAATGGAAAGATACTTTTGATTTTGAGGCCTCAGTTAATGACTTTGGGCTATATACCCTCTTATTGAGCTTTTTTTCTAATACTTTCTAGCACCCTCTCAGAGACATTTTTTTTTAAATTTTTGTTTTTGTTCTTGAACTTTTTTTGTCGGTTGTGAGGCTTGAACTCTGTGCCTGGGTGTTGTCCCTCAGCTCTCAGCTCAAGGCTAGCACTCTATCACTTGAGCACCACTTTTTCCTGCTTGGGTGGTACTGAGGAATTGAACCCAGTGCCTCATGCATGCAAGGCAAACACTCTACCACTGAGCCACCTTCCCAGCCCATGTTCTTAAACTTTTTGAAATAAGGCCTCACCTTTAGCCCAAGTTGGCCTCAATCTTGTCATTACTCCTACATCCACCTTCTGAGTGCTGAGATTAGAGGTGAATGCCACCACATCCAACACACACACACACACACACACACACACACACACACATACACACTTTTATTCTCACCACCACTTTTGCTTTCTCAGGTCTTTTCAAAACATTTTTGAGGTTTCAGTGTGCCTAGTACTGTATTTACCAGGTACCATAGGAGTGGGAGGGAGGGGAGAAAGGAAATGGAGAGGCAAGGGAGAGAGAGGAAAGAAGAAGGAGAAGAAGGAGGAGGAGGAGAAGGAGGAGGAGGAGGAGGAGGAGGAGGAGGA